CCCCAAAACCCCAAAACCCCAAAACCCCAAAACCCCAGAGGGTCTGCCGGCATTGAAGAACATTGAGAGATTTTTGAGTTAGATATAAAATTATTAAAATAAAATGGAATTTCCAAGGTGAGAGTACGACTCATGAAAATCAGAGGCCCAATTCTACTTAAAACAGAGGAAAATGTACGTGTGTTCTTTTGATAAGGACAATGACCAGTCGAGACAAGATACAGTATGACTAACCCATCCTGATTCAGTGGTGAAACTTATTAAAATCATTGACCTTTGCCGCAAAGAATTACTAATGTCTCCTACTATTTATGGGTATCTTGCTCCCGAAGAAGAATATAGTGGATTCGACCTTACTGTGAAAGAGCGTACTAATAATATACTCTCTGAGCTCAAAGATGCGATGAGGAAAAAGTTATTTTATAAGTTTGAGCCTTTATTTCAAGAATCTCAGCAAGTGAAAGAGATGATAATGAATGATCGTCTTTATATCAAATTTTGCACAATGAAAACATGGAAGGAGTCTGTTTCAGCTATTTGAGGTGAAGGAACTCAGAGTTTAGCACTCGTTGAAAAAGAAATAAGTGATAAGTACAACAATTTACTCGAAAAGACAGTTTCTAAACTGATGACGCAAAAACAAAGTAAGTGAATTTACAATACTTCTTTTATTTACTAGCTGTCATTTCTCATCGCGTTTTATTACTATTATAGCCAACAAAGAGAGTTATGATGGGCTTGAGAATGAATTCAATCTGTATAAGCGAAAATAATAAAATGAAATTATTTTCCCGTATGGTCTTACTAATTTCAGCCATGATGATATACTTTTGAGCAGGAAACATCGGGATAAAATATTCTGGAAGATCTCTGTCTTTACAATGTAAGAATTGTGTAAATTAGGTCTGATTCACAAATTTATCCTCTTTATAGAATTTGAATCCTATCTAATATCTGTAGTTTCTAATTACTTTTCAAAACTTAATAACTAAAATTTTAACTTCTTTCATATATTTCTGAATTTTCTGATTCTTAAATTTTAAACCAACTTGAATCTCACCTTCAAACATCTAATGTTGTTTTTACCGCAAAAGTGTGTAAATTTGTGCCATTTCCAAATAGTGTTATCCATTGGGTTATAATAATAATAGATACTGGAGATCTTCTCAGTAGTGAGATTCATGATTTGAAATCAAAAATTCACCTAAAAGATACAAAAATCAACCTGCTCCTCACAGACCTCTCTACCCTCAACTCCACTCTCACCTCCCCTCCCATCACATCCCCCCCTTGCAACTCCACCCCCACTTGCCAACCCTGTAACCTCCCCTACATCCCCCATCCACCCCCTTCCCAGCCCAACCCCACCAACACCAAAGAGACCGAAGAAGCCAATTCCGCCTTCTGCCACAAAGAAGTCATGAAAGCCAAGAAGAAACAGAAGGAATTCAACGAAGAATGTAGAGCCAAGGTACGCCCAAGCGGCCAGGGATGGGCTTAATGTGGTATAGGGAATTTATGCGAAGGATATGGAACAGAAGTTGGAAGAGAAGGATCAGGAGATATTGGAGTGTGAGAAGATGCTGAAGGGGGTTATTGATGGGAGTATTAATAAGAAGGGGTATTCTGATCAGGATTTGAGGAAGTTTAAGAAGAAGAAGATTGAGTTGTTTATGGAAGACCATATGGAAGAAGGACAGAATTTAGGGAAAGTTTAGGTAGTGGAGTATTTTTTTGTCTTAAATGATAAAGTTATATTGTTGGAGTCGAGATAAATTGTACCTTTTTGGGAAATTGTTTTTGAGGGATACATTTTAGCATAAAATATGGAGAAGATAACTTCTTGCTCATTTTTAAGGATTTATTACAAAAGTTATGATTAAAATTTAGGTTTTATTGGAGTTTGTATAGTTTCAGAGTTAAATAAGCCTTTTAGAAGATTCTTTATGAAAGCTTGCGCTAAAGTCAGAAAGCTTACTGCTCTGAGAACTGGACAATGGAATCAGTTAATTTCTAAAACCATAAAAACAAATACATCATCCTAATAGAATTGATATTAGATGCTTTCATGAAGAATGCTAATGAATTAGTTTGAGTTAATTTTATCAACGATTTCTAAACTTCTCATCAGCTTAAATTGAACTTTTCTATAAGTGGTTTTGAATAGCTGTAGAAACGTCAGGATATTATCAAGAAGCTCAAATTAAGAAAAACGGATAAATTTTTCTAGCTCAACTTTAAAACTATCTGAAATATATTCTTTCTTATTTTATTTATCTGAATTGATGCATATCGGCCAACTAATAGAAACCTAGCTGAATTGCAAGATTTCAAAAAATATTATAAATTATCAAAGCATCCAATGAATAAATTATTAACAATTTCAACATAATAACTACTAGTGGGGTTTTGGGGTTTTGGGGTTTTGGGGTTTTGGGGTTTTGGGG